TGGCGAGCAACCACACATTAACACATGACCTTTGCATTATGTAATAATATCATTAAATATACTTAAGGCTCTCCGTTACGGGTGACTGGTTGCGTAAAAATTAAAAACGCAGGGTTGCTAGGTCGAACACATGCCTCTCTGGCTCCCGATGAGTGCGGCTAAGATGCTTGCAGTGATGGATATATGTAGAATGTAAAGGCCATTTCTGTGTGGGTGGGCCTGCATTGCACTGTGTCAGTTGGGCCGGAAAAAGTACGAGTAACTCAGCTTACATGGATACAGTTTTGATTCAAATGGTAAATATAATTTGCGGCCCCTTTGTCTCTCGACAGGACGAAGGCTTCCTGACACCGCGTCAGTCGTGGGGCTAGCTCATGGATTGCTCGCACTTAATCATGCTGACCAATGCAGGCTGGTGAAGAGGTTTGGAAAGACCAGGACCGGTTTGGATACCACTCGTTGATTGATCTTCTTGGTTCTTTCGGTAAAGTCACGTAGAAGGGAAATAATAAAATAAAATAAATAAAACATAATAAAATACAATTTTCACGACGTTTCGGCCACAACGCAAGCAGCCGTCCTCAGGTGAAGAACAGGGCTGTCGGAAAGACAGCGTCTGAATGTCTTTCCGACAGACCTGTTCTTCACCTGAGGACGGCTACTTGCGTTGTGGCCGAAACGTCGTGAGAATTGTATTTTATTATGTTTTATTGTTATTATTTTATTATTTCCCTTCTACGTGACTTTACCGAAAGAACCAAGAAGATGAATCCCTGCAGTCACGAAAGCTTTAAATCGTTGATTGATGTTAGCCCCCTGGCAATCGAAGTGAGGGTCATCGGGTTCATGGTGCTGTGCTGGCGTGAGGTGTTATTTATCCCGTTTATTATGTCTACAGCAATTTGTATTCTGAAGCCCATGTGTGATGTCCCTTGCCTACCTTTCTGTGGGATGTCAAATCCCTAACGTTCAACGTCTGATGATGAATACATTTCTCCTAAAGAGTTTCCAGAGTGTGATAGACTTCACTTATCCAGGTTCACCCGCCCGGAGGAGGTGACACCAGATGTCCCGATACTGCCAATCTGGAAAACTTTTCTGCAGCACAAAGTAAGGGATAGGGGGTTTGTTTTTGAGCCATCGGCAACCTTCACGCTTTCGCTGCCGTGAAAGTCGCTTCTAAAGAGGGCGCGTGGAAACGCAGTGAGCGACGCCACCAAACACGGAACCCACACGGCTCCGAGCGCGACACCCGCTCTGACTCTGCCAAGGGCCCCCACCATCGCTTGCGCTCGCTCTTTCCATCTCGATGCCATCGCCTCGCCGATTATCAGCTCCATATCTTGTGCCAACACTGTGTCGAACAGTCGCCGCACTGAGACGTAAGTCAGACGCTTCTCATTTCTGGCAAGCGGCATTGCTTGAGAGATGAAATTGCTCTGTGCGCTACGTGCGGGCAGGGCTTAATTCTCACCGAATATTTTGTGGGTCACTGGTGGACTGAAGTAGGCAAATAATAAATAGCCACATCCATCGCGAGAGGAATACTGGATGCGGTGTGCCGGTTTGACCAAGGTGAAATTATACCCTAAGTTTATGCATCCCCAATGACAGGATCTCATTGACGGAACATGCAATTTCGGCCGTAATGGTGTCACAATTCACAAAACGTACAAATACCGATTATTTCAGACTTCCCGTTACATGCACAGCCTGTGGTACCACTGCAATGGGTGGAAGGTCTTTTGTTCAATGTCCTATGTTGTTTCTTGTAGTAGATATTTTCTGTTACCCATGTGTGGAATTTCAATGTAAAAACCCATTTTAGCACCTTGAGATTTACATCACAGTTGTGAGGCTCTATATACCAAATAAATGCTCATGATGACATTGACTTTTATCCAAATCTCCACCCCTTCACCGACTCAACATACGGGGTATCAATTATAAGACGTCTGTCACTTTCTTCAAGCACTTCAAGGGATATCCTACGATGAATGCCTCCTGGTTTTTAATACAAATTATCTTATTAATGCGGTCCCCCCCCCCTAATAAAATGTCACGCATACATATTTAAATATGTCGTACTTTGACCACAAAGTCTTTCTTCTAATTGCCATTCCACAAATTGCCAGTCCATACAGGAGCCTGAGAACATCAGAGGCCGTTGCACAATCCTGGTGGACTGCGCGGCCCCCATCCACCGTATTCATTACCCAGGCCTTTGCACCCTCAAGTTTTCATGTGGCCTATGCGGGCAGCATTTTGGAAATGATGCTGCGGTACAGGACACTGTGGGCAAATGTGTACGTGACGGTGATTCATCGTCTCACCGTGGTGGAATGCAGGCCCTGGTTCCACTTTGGTGTAGGTGCGGAGAAAAGTATGGTGGCTACGTATTAACCAAGAAAAGGGAAATGCACGCAAATGGATTCTGTAACGCTTTCCAATGCGCATGTCATTGAAAGTATTTAATTTACCATTTAATAACGATTTTTTTGAAAGTTCTGAATGACAAGGCAACTTTATAATAAAATATTAATATTGCATCATCTTTACGAGAGTAATCGTAAACCCCATGTATAGACAGACGGACAGAGCTAATGCATTAACTCTTCAAACCTAAGTAGGAAAGCGTTCAAATGTCAATGAAAACTTATTGAGAGAAGGCATTACGTTTGGGACATTCAGCGGCATAGTTATTCAGTGTGCAGGCGGTGCAACTGCACCGGGGCCCACACAACAGTGGGCCCAGGGCTACGAAGAGGGGCGGGCGGATTCATTGGCACCGCGGCCCATGCCAGCCATGCCACCAGAGGCATCTCTCCTAACTTTGTGACTGCATCTCACTCGGCTCTGGATTTACAGACTCACAACTTTCCACCACCTCCGAAAACCTCTCATCAACCTCCACTCGGTGGGGAGACCATGCCTCGGCTATCCCTGCTGCCTGATACGCCGTCCCCTCGGTCATCCGTTCGCCCCAAACCCATTGCTTACGTTGACGACGAAATAACACCGTCTCCTCCTGCAGCTAGGACCAATTCTACGCACTCCTGAGATTGCTCACAATCATCAGTGCATCGTATTTTTTTTTATCACCAAACGTAACTGTTGAAGACAACCATAATATGACGAATCTGAAAAGCCTGGTTGAAGGAACATATCTAAATATATTTCCCCACTCTTTTATCTCAATTACATTCGAGTGCCGTGTCAGAGACTGGAGTCTAGAAAAAGACATTGCAGAGCTGTTTCTGAATTCCCCTGAACACATTCTCTGATTCACACTGTTTACAAACACACCAATGTACAGTAACATGGCAGGTTGCTCAACTCAGTACAAGATGGTTAGCCGTTGCGGGGAATCGAACTCAGGCCGTTGGGTATGAACCGCAGTGCAGCGGCGCTCACCGCCCTCCGCGTCATCGCTCCACGCAAGGTAATGCGAACGGCTCCGCAGATGGTCGCTGGAACGGTCACAGTGGCTTGTCGACGAACACCGAAATTCACTTTTGCTCGACTCAGTGGAGGGTACACGGGAAGAATGAACCATTCGGGCGACTGAATGAGGGCGAGCAGAAGGTGCAAGGCGGCTGGTGTGCAAGTGGTGGCCAACGAGTATGCATATTGGGGGGGCACAGGTAGCCCTGCGGGTAGGGGCGTATATCTCATGTCATAACTTTATTCAAGTGCAACAGGGCACGGCAGTCAAGAGGCCCGGGGGCTGCTTTGCCCCCCTCTAATTTTCCCAAAACAGCTAACACAATGCATATGCGAGTGCCCCCTATCTGCTGTACTAATTTAATTAAACCCAGGAATGCAGCACGAAGTGGATTATGTAAAAACTGCATGGTAAATCAGGAAACATTTAAATAATTTAATTCTTGTCACGCTCCACGGTATATATAAAGCACCGTCTCCAACTCGCATCCACTCTACCTCTATGGGCCATGTGCAGTGAACAAGGGTGATTGCGCTGAAACGTCGCCTATTACATACATACTTGTCTTTGTAAGGCCACAGTGTTATTGATGAATGTGTTGAGTTTTTGTTGTTGGCACTCGTGCACCACTGCCTACGCAGCAGCAACAGATCATTGTTGTATGAAGTGACAGCGCAGTGTCACCATTTCACAGCGGGTGGCGAGGCCGTCCTTGGTGCTACAGACCTTGGGCAGTGGCTCGTACGTGATTCACATTTGATTTTTTAGTGAGATTGCGCGAGTTAAATGCGTGTCGTCAACCCTCCTCCACCCGACGAAGCCAATTGATAAAGTTGTCACGTGGACACACTTGCCAATGTGTTACTGCTTCAGCACACCGGTGTGTTGGGAGAGCAATCCGCACACATTTAACAATTGAGTACGACGTGACACTGTTAGTTAAAACCAGCATCACCGGGCAGCTGCCAGAAACAAAAAAGCAAATATGAATCGTGACGTTGGTCTGCATCGTTTACTTGCAAACACGAGCAGCCACTATTGCAAACCTCTTCTCGAGTCTTTGATGCTAAACACCCCATAATATGAGGTTTTGAATGGTATTGTTTATTTTTTGTTCACCCATTTCCCTTCTTCTGTCGTTGGATCAGCACCACGTGGCCTGTAACCATAAGACGTGGTCACCGCAGGTTTATTTATTTATTTATTATTACTACTACGCTTGTTTACTCAGAACAGCATCAGTAAGTCTGAGTGGTCGCTGATCGGCTGTGTGTTTCCCAATCAAGTCGTTTTGCTTCAAATGTGGACCGTGATGCCGGCACACAATGGCCGGCCTACTCTTCTTCACGTGACGTCACAGGAGGGTTCTTTATCGTCCACTCTGAGCGAAGCAGACGGCACGTGGTGTTGTTACGGTCGATTCACGCCCGTGTGGTACTAACAAGGGCGGCTGACTGGATTCCAACCGTGAACTTCTGCAACAACCGGCGAATGGGGTGGGGGGTACAGGAGGTGGAGGGGTGAAGGTTGGGTGGACAAGGTGCTGGGTACTCACGGTGTAGGTAACACAACGCTCCAGGGTCACGTGGTCTCCCACGGAACTGAATCGCATCATCGCGTGGGGAACGGTCGACTAACATCCGGGAAGCAGGACGACTCTCATCCGGGAAACTGGTCGACTAACATCTGCTCACGAGTCTTATCGCCATTCGGAGAGCTGCGGTGTCATCGGCATCCGGGCAAATGGTAAACCAGGGTACAACTTAAGTAATTGGTGAACTAGCATCTACGTAATTGGTTCCCGAGCAAATAGTAAATTGGCCAACTCATATCCAGGTATTTGGCCGACTCACTTCAAGGCAGGCAATTGATGAGCATCTATTCAGGTGATCGACTATCATCCAAAGTTGACTAACATCCAGATAATTGGATGACTACTATCCCAGTAACTAGGTTGAATAACATTCAGGTAACTGGTCAACTGCTATCCAAGTATATGGTTGACTAACATTTGAGCTTCTGGCCGATTAAAATCCAGGCGGCCACTTGACCAGTATCCGGGTGACTCTTTGGCTACCAGCCGAGTACTACAGCAGGTGGTCCAACTAGCGTCCGGCAAAGCTGGCCACGGAACATCCTGGTGGTAGCAGATGAACTAACATCCAGGTGCAGCAGGGTTTGTTGACATCTCAGTGGGAGTAGCCGGTTGGATTTAAGTCCGTGGGTTTCAGTTGCCTCTGCGAGCCGACGTTTGCCTCGTCTGGAGATGTGCTTTGAAGTTTTGCCAGGGGGGATGTCCACCCTAAACAGTCACAGCGAGGTCCCTGTTGAGACACAGCAACACCATACCGTCTTTATACGTCATCAGCCATAACATGATCAGCCGTGATTTATCCACTGCAGGATGAAGGCCTCCTTCGCCACGCCGGCGCCACCTTTGACGGTGTCGTGACCGCGAGTCAATCGACCTCGCACGTGCACACGATCCCATCTCGTAGCTCCATCTCCGCGTTGGATAGACCCTCTGGCGTGTTCCCTACCGTGGTATATACTGGAGTGTACACACTAAGTGTCTCGGGCCATACCTATCCATACAGTCTGTAAGAAAGAATGCAGTCTATCCCTAACCGCAGAGTCTAAACCTAAGCCGTACGTGTACGTACAGCCCTTTACTCACTCCACTGCTGGATGAGGGCCTCCGCAGGTTGTGTGGGTTACGGCCGTTTAGTTGAACATACGCTGGTCAGCGCGGGTTGCTTTGACGTGGGAGCATAGAACCACAGTACAACAATGGACTGCCCTTTGCTGCCCACAACATAGTCCCAGCAGCAGGATGGTTGTCCATCCGAGCGATATCCAGCCTCAATCCTGCATAGCTTCCGAAATCTGATGAGATGTGGTGCATTCTGGGGGTGTTTGGTCACAGGCTTAGTCGTACTGTTTGTGCTAAACAATAACAGTCTATATGCCTGACAGTAGCGCATTGCGCCTTGAACTTTGGCCATTGGAGTTCGAATCCAGACCACGGCTAACATCAGTGGCAAGTGATATCTGAACCACCCCCTACCCCATCTCTCCTCGGCCACCCCTAAACCAACCCGTACTGACTATCGTGGTGAAGTATGGTCAAACAACCCCCATGACAGATACAGCGTGGGGAGGGCTTCATCAAGCAGTGGATTTACACACGGCTCCATATTATTAATTATTATTACTATACATAACCATAGTTTTCACCTACATTTCACAACATGGAAGGAGGAGGCAACGGGATGAAGCGTCCCCCCCACCACCACCCACCCACCCACCCACTCCCCTCCACCCTCCCCCACCCCGTCCCCCTCCACCCCCTCTCCTCCACCCACTCCCCTCCTACCGCCCCCATGTCAGCACGCACTTTTTTGAGAGGGCATCGAAATTATGTGAAATCCCATCATGGAAAGGAACATCGGTGTTAGCAACGACTGTCATGACGAGGGTGGTGTTTTGCCTTCGATCAAATAACGTGAGCCTTATATCGTCAGATACTATAATCTACCAGGCTTGAGCCTGGTAGGTTATAGTATTAGGGCTTGCCAGGTGCTGTAGGTTTGGGCTGTGGTGAGGTGTGGCCACGAGATGGCCGTGCTGAGTATACATATATACACACGTGGTGGGTTTTCTCCGGGTTATCCAGTTTCCTTCCACATGAAGCCAAACACTCAGAGATGGAATTGGCCCATAGGCGACGTTTGCGGGGTGGGGGGGGGGGCACGGGGGGGGGCAATGTCCCCCCCTCCACAAACTGGACACCTTTATACACTTATTTTCGGTAGTTTACACTAAAGATAAAAAATAAATCAAATATATGCAGCCGCGATTCCTAATGTGAGGGACAAAGCGAACCCATGCCCCCCCCCCGTCCCCCAAATATAGAAGTCAAACTCCCCCCTATGAATCGGGCCAAACATCTCGATCTGGCAAGAGCCTCCTGACAGAGAGTCTTGAGAATCAGCGAGGCTTTCCCGTCTAAATAATTGGCGTTACTAGAATGTGTTTTTAGAACATAATTATTCACCTCCATAAATGTTTTGGCCCGCAAACACGCGCGTTTTAGGCCATGCCCTTTCTCCGTGCAATGGTTAAGGTGAAGAAATATTTGGCAAAGCAAAACAAATATTCACGTTTTGGCCGACGTGAATTTGAGGTCAGTATTTTCCATCTGGCGACTGTGACACACGGGTGTGGGCCTGGAAAGGTTTACGCTCATTAGAATTCATCTGCAAACCACGACCATGAGAATAGGGTTTCCATTTTTTCCGGCAACAAAACTGGTGTTACGATGTTAAAACACCAAACTGAAACCTTTTACAAGGAATCATGTCTGCAAGGAGAAAACCTATTCTCATATTTTGGTACTGGCAAAGGAGGTCCCATGATGAACCACAACCAGTTAACACAATTGTCCATCGTGGCGTTTCCATGCTCTTAAGAGTCACCAGTGAGCCACAGTCACTTTATACCAAGTCTGTAATGGGGCAGGATCGGTTTCACGTTTCCTAGCACTGACCAGCGAATCAACAACCGACATTGATCAATTGCAGAACAAAGCGGTTTGGTTTTATTTCCTCTCTTTATCGCTCATCAGCAACCGACAGCCGATTAGAATGCAGTCGTGTAACAACACAGCGAAGAAGCATGGACCCGTTTGGCGCCTCTTCGCGCTCATCAGTGAGTTATTGCCGTTAACGTTGTGTAACCACACAACTGACGGGACGGACAGCGACTGGTTTCATCGCTCCGAGTGCTCATCGGCGAGACAAAACTCCACTTACACAATTCAAGTCTCTAAAATTGTGTTTTCTACGGCAATGATCAAAGATATTAATATGTATCATTAATTAATTTGGGTGGAGCGGTGTCGCTGTGGTTAATGTACTGCGCTATTTATCCCAAAGAGCAGCTGTTGATTCCAGGTCACGGCTAACATCAGTGGCGAGTGCTATCTGACCCGGCCATGCCCCCCCCCCACCACCCCCACTTCTTTATAGACGTTGGGAGACCTTCCTTCATCCAGCAGTAGATGGCCAAGGGGCTGTAACAGTATTAATACTGCTTTTAGTAAGTTAATCTGAGCGAACGTGCTATATACACGTGCTATGTTCAGGAAATGCAACTAGCCAAATAGTCCGCAAGAATAAGGGCTTTTGGCAAATGCAAAATTTTGTGTACTGCATTGCAGTATTACCATTTGTCCACTGCTGGATGAAGCCCCCCCACCCCACCCTCCAAGCCATCGCCCTATCCCTGAAGGTTACACGATGCAATAATCCACCTCGCTCCTGCACACGAGCTGACGTCGTCGCTCCAACTCGGCGCTGCACGGCCTCTCGGGCGTGGTGACGAACCCACCGCGTGCTTCACTCCGTCATTCGTCTCGACCACTGTCCATCTACCAAACCCCTTCTAGTGATGTCCTTCCTGAGCCAACTCTTCCTAACGGTCTATCCAACGTGTGCATGTTCTCCGATCTTCCGTCTGTTTCCCTCCTCTTTCTGTCTTTCAGTGGCATTCAAAGCGCGCACCTTTCCATGTTTTCGGCCCGTATGTTGCATTATACTCGTATTTACAAAAGTATAATTCAGTACACGTGCGTTGTGTGTTCTGTTGTGCAATGCCCAACGTCTAGGCTTCACCAACCGCACTGGACTGACCAACATGGTCAATGTGTGGTCAGTGTTATGGCATGCGACCAACACGGCGTGGGAAGACGTTCATCCGTCAAGGCATTGATAAAAAAAAATGTGTGTACGTGTAGAGTTGCACATTCAAGTACGTGTCTGACACATGCAGTATGAAAACAACTTAAGTCAGAAAAGTTGTCATTTTGTTTCTCAGTAATGTCGGAAGTCCCATATTTCTCATGCCAACCGTCTACATTCTGCACGTGCAACGAAAACACCAACGGAATAAATACTGGTGCAGCATCACCATCAGACGCTGCTAAAGTTTGCATATTCCAGTGTACCAACTTAAACGCTGCATTGCAATGTAAAATGGCAGTGTCTCTCTCTCTCGGAGGAGGAGGAGGAAACAGGCCAGAGAAGGACGCCCACCGCGGAGACGGAAGCAATGAGTTCACGCCACTGGGCAGGGAGGGAGATTGTGAAAGATGGCGTCGGATTGGGGTGGCCTTCATCGAGCAGTGGATAGGTCACGGCCGGTGATTATGATGACACTCCTCAAAACAAGGGGAAACCGCGCGGCTCTCGTGCGCTCTGCTCGTGGCACTGCAATGGAAACTCCACATTCCCGTGACGGTGACCAGTTTATCCGTGGCACAGCCACTTGCCCACACAGGAGACCTGCATGCAGGCGTCCTTTGATGTAGAACACGTGCGCGCCTCTTCGAGGCCGAACATCTCATTTCCAAGGGAGGAGACGCGCATACGCGGAAAAAGGTGATCCATTAATATACGCCTTCCCCCCTGAGTTATAATCTCATAATCCTCTTACTTTCTTATCAACAGGCTGATTGGATATTGTGAAAGCGATGCCTCCATATATATGTCAGAGGAGAGCGGTAATACATTGAACGCGTGCATTGATATTGGTGGGAGCCGTGCGCACTCGTTGGCATGCCAATGTACTCGTCTCGATAATTTTGCCATTTTTATTTAATTGGGTAATCCATACACGGACCACCCTACATTTATAAAGGCTTTCTAAGCGTGTGCAAGGCCTCTGCGCCTCGGTAGCGAGATGCTATCTCTCTCGCCTGGTATGCAAGAGGTCATGGGTTCGACCCTGACGAAGCCTGTATATTTTGAGTTCGCGTGTTCTCTCTCCCCGTGGTGGTGATGGTGGTGATGATGGTGGTGCTGGCGTGGGTCATTCTCTGGGTCCTCCGGGTTCTATTCCCCCTCCACATTTAGAAACATTCTTTGAGATTGTTTGGCCGAGACTATGAATTCCCACATGTGACGACGAGCCACGTGGACGAGCTATCTTCAAGTGTGCCCAGGTCGCCTCTTAAACATAAAGAGCCAATAGCTCCGTGGACTCTACCTGATAAATAAAATAGTTCAGATTTTAAATTGTCACTTAAAGCTTTCGTGACTGCAGGAGTTCATATTCTTTGGGTCTTTACCGAAAGACCCAAAGAATATAGTTTCGATTTTAGTTGACCGCGGTATCATTTTCACCAAAGTTCTGAGCGCGCCACAATCCAAGGTATGTCCCCCCACCGCCCCCCCCCCCCCACACATGAGATGTGAATCGCTCCGGGCTCTCACGTGGTTATATAAACATCTCTATCTGTGTCTGTATCTATTTGTCTATCTCGTGTGTGTGTGTGGGAGAGCGCATCTCCTGGGGGAGCGGTAGTGTCGTGCTGCGCTACGAACCCGGCCACCCGAGTTCAATTCCCACTTACGGGCAACACCAATTACGATTATCTGAACGGGTCCTGGGCCTCCCCGAGGTCGACTCAGCCTCAAATGAGTACCTTGTCCGGTGTGTACAAACATCGCCACTGGGGAGACAAAGGCGGCCGGGCGTGGTGCTGGCGACTCACGCCCTCATATGGCGTGCGAGCCTTCATAGGTGCTCGCTAACAGCACTTGCCCCAACAGTCTGTTAATGCTATACGGGGGATCTTTGTCTTCGTTTGTACCTCCTGTGTGTGGCATCGTGAATGGAGGCACACAACCACGCACCTTGCATGTCGAGTCGGCTCCGTCTCCTCCCCGGGTTGTCGAGGTCTCCAACAGCTCCTTCGTAGTTCCACCAGCTTATCAGCGCCGCCTCAATGCGTCCAAAGGTTCATCGACGGATGTACGAGCTCCTCAATTGATCCCCGATGGGTGTACACAGGCTACTTAATGAGTGCAAGTTGCTTCTCAAGCGGTTCAAGGCTTCCCCAATAAGTCCAGATGTTTTCTCAAAATGGTTCACGACTTCTTCACTGAGCTCCTCCAGGGAGTATGATCTCCAATGGCTCAGTTTCAGTTCCTCGAAAAGGGCATTCGCGTTTGAGGCTCCACCAGGTCCTCCAGGGGTCCGATCTCAGGTCCTCCTGTAGCAGGTTCTGCAGTGACAAGCCGCTCCCACTGACTGAGGTCTAAGATGCCTTCGGGTCTCGCTGATTGCCCCAGATCTCCCTGGTCGTCCCGAGAACAGGATCTCGACTGGAGTCTTCAAGTGTCTCTATAAGAGCCGAGCCCACATAACCTGCCAGGAGCCAGATATCACAGCGACCAGCCCCCCCACACCCCGTCCTCGGACAGAGGCAATGAGGTCGTGTCGCACTATTTGCGCGAGTCCGGTCGCGACCTGGCCAGGCGAGGGTAAGTTCCACTCCCGAGGTATGGCTCGTGGCGCTGGATCAAACGTCGATGCAGATTTCTTCTCAACGGTCCGAGAAAGGTGTCGGCTAGTCCGGGACGCCCCTAGAAAGCTTCTCTGGGTCGTGGCTGGGTCCGCGTCGTCGGTCCGGGTCCTCCTAGAATTGCGTTCGCGGCGTCTCCCGCCCGCGTCTCTCCACGCGCGTTTCCGTTCCTCGGCTCTGGGGCCGAGGAGTCGCGCGGGATGGAGGCGGGGCCCGGGGCGGAGAGCAGCGTGTGTGTGTGCACGCGTGTGTGTGTGCGTGTGTATGTGTGTGCGTGTGTGTGCACGTGTGTGTGTGCACGCCTGTGTGTGTGGTGTGCATGTGTGTGCGTGTGTGTGCACGTGTGTGTGCACGCCTGTGTGTGTGTGCGTGTGTATGTGTGTGCGTGTGTGTGCACGTGTGTGTGTGCACGCCTGTGTGTGTGCGTGCACACGTGTGTGTGTACGCGTGTGTGTGTGTGCGTGCACGCGTGTGTGTGTACACGCGTTTGTGTGTACATGCGCGTGTGTGTGTGCGCACGCCTGTGTGTGTATGTACACGTTTGTGTGTGTGCACGTGTGTGTGAGTGTGTACACGTGTGTGTGCAACACGCGCGTGTGTAGTGTACGCGCCTGTGTGTGCACGCGCGTGTGTGTGTGTACGTGTACATACACGAGTACACATGAGTGTGTGTGTGCACGTGTGTGAAGGCGTGTGTGTGTATGTGCACGTGAGTGTGAACACGAGGACGTGTGTAGTGCACGCCCGTGTGTGTGTGTAGTGGGGAGCGGTGGTGTAGCGGTTGGCGCACTGAGCGCCGAACCCGGCGGCCCGAGTTCGACTCCCATTCACGGCCAACACCAGCGACAAATATCTACAAGGTCCTCCCCTAGGTCGAATTAGTCCCTGTTGCGGTTTGTAAATATCGCCACTAGGAAGACAAAGGCGGCCGGGCGTGGTGCTGCCCCCACCCACACCCCCACCACCCTCGAGTGCCGTGCCAGCCTGTATTGGTGCTCGCTAACAGCACTTGCCCCACCAGTCTGTTCAAGGCTGTACGGCGGCATCTTTGTTGATGTACACGCGTGTTAACACAGTGCCAATGAGATGGGTACACACACACATCTAAAGAGTGTGCACGCGCGCGTGCGATGGTACATTGTATGTATGTTGAACTTCTTTCGCACCGTACGTAGCCAGCCGTCCTAATCGGAGGTCCGCGGGAAGGACAACAAACTAAACACAGAAAGCATTCTAAAAGAAATGAGTTTTCCATCTGGACACATTGATGTATTTTGGAAAACGCTTAAGTGCACGTGTGTACATGCAAGTATACGTGTGCGGAAGTGCAAACTAAACATCTTAATAAGTGTGGGATCGTGCACGCGCGAGTGTACATTCGAGATAAGAATTGTGGCGATCACAATTCCCCCCCCCACCCCCCCGCGGGCCTTACCCCTCGGTGATTCATATTCGCAGGTGGATACATTTAACATTTTATTCTTATTCTTGTAAACATCGTGATGGTGACCGTAGCGGCCTCTAGCGGTAGCAGGAGTCACGTAAAACTCATTACCTAGGACGTGTACGAATGGACAATAAATACCACATCGGTCGATTCTGACGCATGTGATTCGTGTGCACGAAGCGTTTCTCTCTACAATCGCTATTAATCGATTAATCAAGGCATCGGGTTTAGTCAGCTCACTTGGAGTTCGCTTCATAGTCTATAAACTCAATAATATTTTTAAAAAATTGTATCAGGCAAGGCCCACTGAGCTGTGTAGCTCTTCTTAGAAGCGACCTGCCCACAAACGATAGCTCAACGAAGTGGCTTATCACGTGGACATTTATAGCATCACGATGATGTACAAGATTAAACACATTTTTAGTCGTGCTGCTGCGTTGGCAGCGATGCACAAACACAATTACTGGAACAGAAGAAAACGCACACTCGTCAACAATAAATATGTACATATATGTACACGGTATAATAGGGGACGTTTTGGGAAATGGCCCTCCTCCGTAGCACATAAACCTGTACAACATCAGTTCGGGCAAGTGGTGTCTGGATTTTGTCCGGCCCTCCTCTAGGGCGACTCGGGAAGAAAAAAGAGTAAGTGGGCCTGAAATACTGCAGTAGTCATCACGATGGCAATTATTGACCGGGAAATCTCCTCTCTCGGAGTCTTTAATGCCGTCACCCATGTTCGGGAGGGTGGACCAGATGCTTTGTAACCCCATTCAATTCTCGAAAATGTATATATATATATTTAAAAGTAAGGTTTATTTAAAAAAGAAAATAATATGCAAAGGTCAAAACATTGTCAGGGGTCAATTCGTTGGTGGGTGGGGGGGTCACAAGACATCTGAACCACGCTGTTACTGCATTGGGATGTTTGGCCAATTTCATGGGAGTTGGGCTTCGTGTGGGAGGAAATTGGAGGACCAGGAGGGGAAAAAAAACCCCACCAGGAGTATGAAGGGATGTTCATCCACACAGATAGATTTAAGATTCCACTAGTGCACTGCCTTCTCCTGGCCAACCCCGTGTGATCATATACAGCAACAGCAGAGGGGAGATGAAGATGCACGGGCGGGCGTGTTCAAGAACTACAATATTGATATTCTTACTTTATAGGAGCTCGCTGATAGCGTTAATATCGAAGATAAATGGGTGATCCATGCGTTTGCTCGGTGTATCACGCATTAGGATTCCCAATTCGTGCTTTTAACCGATAGCATGTGATACTGTATCTGACCCGGGCTTCCTCCAGGTCGACTCAGCCTTAAATTAGCACCGTATCTGGCACGGTGTGTATAAACACCGGAACTTAGTGAGACAAAGGCGGTCGGGCGTGGTGCTGGCTACAGCAACCATCCTCAATAGGCGCTCGCTAACAGCACGCACGCCAAACATGCGCGTGCATGGGTAGGTATGCGATTCACGGTATGTGTACGTAGTGTACTCTCGTGTATGTTGTGTGTACGGGTACAATGCAATACAAGTTAGCATGGAGAGATGCACGCTTGGAATTACGACACCGAAATACCTGAAGTCGTCAGAGAACGTACGCAAGTCAGAGACAATGTCTCGACGGTTAAGAACAAAAGTAAGTGGGCTTGGGCAGGAAGTGGGATCGTGGTGATGATGATGGCCGGACATCGTGAGAGTGGCTGTCAAAACTCGGAAGAAAAAAAACACGCCCGAAGGGGGACATCCACCACGGTGATGAAACGATGAGATGAGTTCGCGTGTGCAGAAGCGAGATCCAAATGTGGGATGACCACAGCTTGCGGAAGGGGAGGCCTTCATCCAGCAGTGGATAGATTATGACTGGAGGTTATAGTACTGCACTGGTGTGTACACACACGCGCACACGAGTGAGTGTGAATGTATCTATGGCTGAGTGTCCGCTGTGTGTGTGTGTGTGTCCACGTGCGTGTGCCCCAACTTGACAGCAGTTGTAGATTTGTGAACACAAAGACAAGAGACACGTGCGCCGTCTCTTACACAACCAGAAAGTAGCACGCGCACGCACGCACGCACGCGCTCTCACATTCTCCAACTGAGTTCAACTTTCACGCGGTTTGTCAATGTGCAAAAATGGTCACGGTTCGTCCGTGCCTGAATTTTGTTTTATTTGTTCTTGCAGCGAACAATGGGGACGTACTGTAATTGCTATTGTTACGGCACTGCGGTCACCGCCGTTTGCAGGCAAAGGGGGGGGGGGGGGGTGATGGTGGGGGGGGGGGGTCGCGTTCATTGTCGTACGTCCGGTACCCCCTTGGCACCCCCCCCTCACCCGTCGCGCTCACGCGAGAGAGACGGGGGGGGGGGGCCTCTGGAATTCACGTTTCCTGCCCTCAGCTCCATTTTAGCCCAAACACAATCATGCACACACGGACGCATACATACATACACACACGCGCGCGCACGCGATACTTGCACATGCTTACAAAGTGTCACGCGTACATGGGCGTGCACACGAGTGCGCGTATGCACTCGTGTGCACACGCTGACACATACAAAGACGCGCACGTACACACGTGCAATACATGCACATGCGTACGTGCACACGTGCACGCATGCACACATACAGCAACACGAATACACTGTCGAATAGAACACATACACTAACATAGTCCACACGTACAATACATACACGTGGAATACATGCACGTACTTACAGTATCACACGTGCGTACGTGCACGCATGCACACAGAGCAACACAAACACACGCACAAAAGTCACTTAGAACACATGCACTCACATATCACAAACGTAGTCCCACACACTTACACACATTCACACACGCACACTGTACCAATACTAGCATAGGTACGCATGCAGATTTCACATTCAAACGCACGTATCCCTTACACGTACGTTTACACACATGTACACATACGTGCATACACTGGTTTCGTAGCCACGAATTTCTCACCCCAGAGAGCCTGACAGAGTCTCAAGGACTCATTTTCAGGAGGGCCCTGCATTGGAATGTTTTGACAATTACTTGAATGTTTGGCATGTGGGAGGAAACCAGAGCACGCCGAGAAAACCCCCAGTCCGCTGGGGCAAGTGCTGTGAGCGAGCACCTATTAAGGCTCACACCTACACGCAGGAGTGTGGTGTTGCCAGACGCACGCCCGGCCGCCTTTATCTCCCCACTGATTGGGGCGGGGGAGGGGTCACACACCACATCAGGCACCCATTTAAGTGCCAAGTCGACCTCCGAAAGACCCCGGCCCGGTGAAGATATTCGCCACTCACGTTATCCGTGAGACGGAATCGAACTTGGGTCGCCGGGTTCGTGGCGCAGTGCTTAGACACAAAGACAAATATCCCCCGTATAGCCGTTACAGACTGTTTGGGCAAGTGCCGTTAGCGAGTGACTATGAAGGTTGGCACGGCACACGAGGGGGTGGGTGGCCAGCACTAAACCCGACCGCCTTTGTCTCCCTAGTAGGGATGTTTAGGCATGCCACGCCAGATAATCATTCTAGGCTGAGTCTACCTAGGGGAGGCCCAGGACCAGTTCAGATAATTGTCACCGGTGTTTGCCGTGAGTAGGAATCGAACTCGGGTCTCCGGATACGAAGCGCAGTGCGCTAACCATGACACTACCGCTCCCCTCCCACACATACGCAACGCGTGCACACATTCAGTGAAGTATATTTAAAGT